AATTGTGAAAAAAATATCATTTTAATGGACAATTTTCATGTAAAACAAAGCCAAACGAATAGAAAATTTAAAAATTTTTTGGGTGGAAAATTATACCAATCAAACACACTTGAAATCATTTTTCTTGCAAAATATTTTCTAGGCAAATTTTTTCTATGTAAAATATTTTATTTCCACCTATTTTTCACCCTTACAATCAAACGCACCCTTAGGATAAAGCCATTTGTACCCGAACATGTAAAATGCTCGAGTACACGACCCCACCGCCCCCTGTGGGAGACCCGAGGTGAATAAAATAATTGCCACCCCTTACTGTGAGTGGGGGGCGTGGGGTCGGTACACAGGCGTGTGTACCTATAGCAAAACCCATAAATTTAAGGCAGAAATTATGCAAATAAAGCAAAATGAAAAATCCAGAAGCGGAGAAGAGAGAGACAATAGAGAACGCACAAGATTCATATTCTGATAAAGTAGTAGAGCAATCATCATCGTCAGGATCAGAAATGGTGGCGGCTTCCGCCATTGATGGCGTGGCCGCTACGGCGCTGAGCTCAGTGCTCCATCGCGTCCACCAGGCTGCCGAGCTCTGCGGCCGTGGGTCGGACCGGATCCGGGTGGTGGCCGTGAGCAAGACCAAGCCCGTTTCCCTCCTTCGCCAAGTCTATGATGCCGGCCACCGCTGCTTCGGCGAGAATTACGTCCAAGAAATCGTCGAGAAAGCCCCTCAGGTTCGTTTTGCATATGTATAATTGTGTATATGTCTAGATATTATTTTGTGGTTTTTTTCTGGTAAATGAAACATATGAAGAAGAATTGCTTTTGATCGTGTTAGTGTTATTTATTAATTGTCTAAAATCTGGTGATATTGCTTTAATTAATTGCAGCTGCCAGATGATATAGAGTGGCATTTTATTGGGAATTTGCAGAGCAATAAAGTCAAGCCGCTTCTCAGTATGTTCAAAATCTTCCTACTCTCCACACACGCGTATACTATACATGGACATTTATCTTATGCACACACTGAATGTGGTTCATTCTTTGGACGAATAGTTGAATGTTTATGAATGCAAGTGATGTAATTTTCACTGAATAATTAGCAAGTATGTGATATATGGTGCTAGCAAAAAATAAAGGAAAACGAGAGGGAGTTGAAAACATTTTAAGACACGCATCTTGGTTATAATAGGTTGTTCTCTTTTTGGAGCATTTGTTTATATCTAAAACCTAAAAGTTAAAATCTTCATTATATTGATATTTGAAGAATCATCACCAACTTT